CTTCCCCCCAAAGAAGTGAATCATTCGTTTGAAGGTCTGCAGTACCTTTCCTCGAAGGCAGCACATTGATGGAGTCTGTTGTGGAAGCGTGGATGGGAACTTTGATGTTCTTGCCACTGACATTAAAAAAAGCGAAAGGTGGATTAGAAAGGCTGCAACAGGAATATCAATCATGCGATTCCACCATCACTTGCGAGAGACGGTGTTCAAAAGGAACATCGTGCATGTCATCCATGAAAAAGGAAGTACCATCGCTGCACTGTACCGTATTTTCCGCACTAAAAGCCTTCCATTTTCAAAGCTCACAGCGCGCCTTGTGTCTGGTCATTACAGTAATATGTCAACCCCAAAATGGCTCCTTGCTAGAGACATGCTTACAACGCAGAGTTCAAACTTAAGGCGATCGGTTTCGCAGTTGAACGTGGAAATAGAGCAGCGGCAAGAGAGTTCAGCGTTAACGAGTCAATGTTAGATAACTTGCTGTTGGTTAAATGAACTGTGTCGCTGCTTTATTAAGTAAGTTTTACTGACATCTCATCATCGCTATATAAATCAGGGTGTAGTGAAGTGTAGCGTTCTGTTGGCATTTCCTTGAGTGTAGCTTCATCTAGTAGATGCACTGTAGATTGCGTCTTATAATGTGGCGCGTCCAATATATGAAAAAAATGACAAAATAGGCCATTCGTTGAAGGTGCGCCTCATAATCCAGTGCGCCTTTTAGCGTGGAAAATAATAATAAAAATAAAATACTTGGTATTGATGATAGGTCATACAGGGATGAAACCAAGTTCTATATAAACAATAGTAGAGGTGAACTTTCCAACAGCAATAGCTAGTTCTGTTTGAAATTCTCATGTCAATCAATTATTATGTGCACAAACCTCTGAAAGAGCAAAGCCTCCTTTTTGGTGATGAGGTTTTTGGTGTAGCCTCCTGTGATGTGGTTGTATCTGGTGTCACAGCCGAGCCCTTTGGGCTTGTAGCAGTACCACTGCTCACCGTAGTGAAGGTCCGTGTAGTTGCACAGTGGCCCCTTGTCTGGCGGCAGGCACATGTTGCACACTGTCTTCTCCGAATGACGGCCACGGCGAAAGATGCTGACAAAGAAGGCTCGATCGGGCCGTTTCTCCCTCAGGCGCCGCAGCACCGCGACGGCCTCGCTCGAGTGCACCATCATGACATTAACCTGGGCCAAGCCCTGCCACAGCAATGGAAATCGGACCGAATAAAGTCCGTTTTCGTGGTCCAACACTTGTCCAGCCACACCCGCCCTGTACTTTGGGGAGTGTAACCGAGCTAACAGGAAATCACCGCCGTAACGCTTGGGTCGGCCTTTGAAGTCATGCAAGTGGACCTGCACTTCCAGTTGGTCGCCCACGTACCAATGCTGGTTGTTTTTGGAGGGAACGATTGTGAACAAGCTGTGAGCCGGGTCACTTGTGTCGGACAGGTCCGGTGATGCTGAGCCAGAGGGAGGATGGGGCCAGGCGATGGAGTTCAACAGGTTGCGTTCCTCCTGCTGTTCTTCGGGTGACAGTGACTTGGCCAAATGTGCACAGAAGGTGATATTGTGGTGAAATGTTTGGAGGCTTTCAGAAAGATTTGATGACTGCTTCCGGGTCTGAACCTTGTACATTGGTGACACTATATCATACTTCCACTTCTGAAGAGAAGACACCATATTTCAGAATCAGAATCATCTTCATTGGCCAAGTATGTACAACACACAAGGAATTTATCTCCGGCAATATAGGCGAGCTAGTATTGCAATAACAAGCAACTATGATAAAAAAAGACATGACAAATTAGTATAGAAAGATTTTTAGGATGTTTTAGGATGTTACATTTGAATTATGGATGACTGAAAATCTGTGATTCCCAACCCCTGCGCGTTGGCACGCTGGTGTGCCGTGAGCACGGCCACACCTCCCTAAATGCAAACCACGCAACTGTGCGTAGGGCCCCACCGTGGGGGGTGGTGAGGTGAAGGGGTAATGAGGGGGGTGTCCCATACCTTCTAATGGAGTGTCGATTATTTTATTATTTTGTTATTTTATGTTAACTGTACCCGCAGCGGCTCATTTCTCTCCTGTGGTTGCACTGTTGTTGAAAGGAAAGAAATTTCGCCAAATAACTGAACTGACTTGTATTTTCTACAATTTGAAGATGCAGTTGAATACGTCCTCGTTCCACTAGATTCGTAGATGATGGGCATAATCACATCAACATGCCCACTCTTGAAAAAAGGCACTTACCTATCGTGCCATCAAGATATGGAATAGCTTCATACTCAAGACAGACAAACAGACCTTGAGTAGCCAAAGTGAATGCATTTCTTTTATGGCTGTGCAATTTTCCAGTCTGACAAGTATGTGTGTCTTATCGTTTTTTGTTCTTTGAATGACGTCAAGGTTTGGATGACGAATATGTCGTATAAATGGAAATCATTGTAAGGCGTGAATGCAAGATTTCACAACACAAATGTATTGTTGTTAGTACTAATGCAAACGTGTGTGATAATGTTTTTGACTGATGTGATATTAAAAATATGATCTTTTTATTTTTAGATATTATAGATACAGATATTTTTATAGACTAACCCTGAAATGCCTATTACAGTTGAAATTGAATACCATTAAAAAATAAAATACGTGTTTCCTGATCTGTCATGTTTTAAAAAGTAGTACACAACTTACAAATTCTTCCAGTTCCGAGGCATGTAAACTTATGAGAACAACTGTAAAATTCAAAAATAAAAAATAAAAAGATGTAACAAACTTATCTTACCTCCCCAATGGTGATGAGGCGCAGCAGCAGGATGATTCCGAACCCAGCGATAATGATAAGGACATATTTCCAAACATTTAGGGACATGACTTGAATCGTGGTGATGACCCACCGCCGCCTTGTAAAGATAATATCAAGGAAGTAACGTGATTGCACGTCGGGCTCGCCCATTCGGGAGTGCCTCCGAAGACCGCCACGAAATGGAGGATATTTCACCTTCAATACATTAAAAAGAAAAAAATAACTATTATTATCAACTCCTAACCTTGAAACGCTAACATAGATTCAAACGATTAAGGAGCAGTACCCTGATATAATGTTTACAATAGCATAATTTGTTTAGACAATTTGACCTGGAACACAATGAACAACTAAAGTTTATCTGACACAAAAGGAGGTACAAAATTGAATCGCATTTTGATCACGGTGATCGACTGGTTAGCACGTCCGCCTCACAGTGCAGAGGTGTAGGGTTCGATTCCACCTCCCGCCTTCCTGTATGGACTTTACATGTTTTCCCCGTGCCTGTGTGGGATTTCCAAGAAAGTACTTATTTTATATTTTAATTAATTTCTTTTCACCCAAACAGATGACGTTTATGCATTAGTGGAGGTGCTTTTATTTTGAAGGTGGCCAACGCCACTGGCTGGCGGCAGATTACCGTAATGCACAGTATTGAAAATCGCAGTGGCGGCTCACTTGACTTCAACTTTGCGAGTGGAGGCTGGCTTGACCGCAGTGTATTACTGTGTATTTCGTGCCATGTCATGAGGAGATGTGTGTTGGTATGACAAATAAAAGTCCTTGGATCTTTGCGTCTTTGAATATTTGACGAAAGGAGCATTTCTTGAATCCTTCGAAACTCAACTTTAAATGTAACCCGAACGGACAGTAAATTAGTAAGAAAGTAAAATAAGAATAAGTGAAAAACAAACAAAATTTTTTATCTGTGGTTATTGTTCTTGTTTTGTGTCCTTGCGTGTCTTGAAAGGCGCTTATAAATGAAATGTATTATTATTATTATTATTATTAAAAAACACATACCGCTGTTCCTGCGCGTTTTGGCCTCTACGGGGCAGTGTGGTGCTATGCATGGATGGCGTTCATAGGATGAGAGCAGAATTTGCGATTTGAATCTACTAATATAAACCGTTTTTCAGAGATTATGAAGAGTGTGTGCCTTCGAGTGCTTCCACAACATTTATATATGAATATTTGTTCTTTGAATGACTTTCACTTCGGAAGTCAATGGCAATTTGTTATTGGCATTTCAATGGGATCCTACGTTGACTTTGATATTTGAGCTGGCGATTTAAAAAAAAGGAAGCATATGTTACGTTTTTAAATATACGATGTGTGTAATTCTTTTGTTGTTTTTTAGTTTTCCAGTAAGCTCCAACTAGGGTGTCATTGAACATCTCTAAAGCATGCTAAGGGACTGCAGAATCGCAATCCGCTACACGCTTGCTGGGTAAGCAATTTGGTGCATTCCGGTTATTTTCACAACGTCGGGAATTTGCAAAAGCACAGCGCCGCTGTACATATTGATCTTTTTCTTCGATTATAACGTTTTATAAATCAAGAGAAGTCAAAATTGAAATCATGATTTATATTTCGTTTAAGTAGTTATGATGTTTACAGTTACAAGACAAAGTATGTGAACCTTTTGGAATTACCTGGATTTCTGCATAATGGTCATAAAATGTGTTCTAAAATTCATCTAAGTCACAACGATAGACAAAACAGTCTGCTTGAACAAATACCACACAAACATTGATATGATCTCATGTTTTGTTTATTAACACAGCGGAAGGTGGCAAAAGTATGTGAACCCTTAGGCTAATGAGCTAATTGGAGTCAGAAGTCAGCAATCTGGAGTCCAATCAATGAGATGAGATTGAAGGGGGTGGGCAAAGATGCCCCCCCCCCCTATAAGAACGCACACTAGGTTTGAGTTTGCTATTAGTTTTTGTTCTTGATTGGAAAGTGTCCTTTCCACCAGAGGATGTACCTGCTCAGGAAACTGAACTCCTCCGTCAGCAGGAAAATCCTCCTGACCTTCTACCAGGCATTCATAGAGTCCGTCCTCTCGTTCTCTATGGCTTGCTGGTTCCACTCCCAAAGTCTGCAGGAGAAGAACCACCTGGACAGCATCAGCAGAGTGTGCTCCAAAATCATCGGACTTCCCACTCGCCCTCTGATTGCAGTGTGCGAGCAGCAGATTCGTGGTCTGGCTGCTCAGATCATGAAGGACCCCTCACATGCTCTCTTCCCCGCGTTCGAATAGCTGCCTTCCGGCCGCAGGCTGCGGTTCCCAGCTTGCAGGACAGCGAGGAGGACGTCCACCTTCGTCCCCCAGGCTGTTCTCCTCGTAAACCCTTATTCCAAGCTCCCTGACACCCCCCCCCCCCCACCACCACCATACAGACTCGCACACCCCATTGTGCAATACGGGTTTACAGTGCAATACTTTGACGTGCAATACTGTTTTCATGTGCAATACTGTCTTTACTGTGTTCTTACTGTGCATACTGCTCGATGTGCAATACTATTTCGATGCTGGAGCCACTACCTCAAGACCTCAAGTGCTAAGCTAGCTACTCTCATCCTATGTTTTTCTTTTGCTCTGACTGTCTCTATAATAAGCCGCTCTCGCACAACTCTAATTGCCCCACGGGGATAAATAAAGTTTTCTGAATCTGAAAATCTGAATCCTTGAGTGTTTTGAAAGGTGCTTATAAACAGGGGTGTAGTGGGCGTGGTACGCGGGGGTACGCCGTCCACCCACTCTCCCGACGCCACATTCAATTTTTATTGAAATGTTTGTTGATCATTGTTCTAATGCGAGTTATGCTTAATAACGTTGGCCTGTGATTATTTTGGAGTAGTAAAACATTAAATTTAACGTTCGTTCAACTGGTGTTGTAGCCTATGATTGATGTTCTGTATGTATATATAGAACATCCCAGAATCGCGTACACCCACTTAAAAAATCCCCACTACACCACTGCTTATAAATAACATCTATTATTATTATTCTCAAAATGCATTGTCCGATATAAACCATGCTGCACAAAAGAGCTCTCAGAAGATCTACATTAAGGCTTGGATGTTGACATACAAAAAGCTGGCAAGGGTGACAAAAGTATCTCCAATGGCACACATTTCCACCGTGCTTGTACATGTGCTAGTTCGAGGCCAGTGCCCAGGTTTCACCAGTTCTTTCTTTTTCCACTACCGAAATTAGCTCTAGCACTGGTGCTTAAGATGGCTCCAATTATTTGTTGGGCCAGACTTTGGCACCAACTACGGTGAGGGGCGAGGTTATGGTGACGATCGTAGAAATAGAGAAATGACACCCCGGACACACGGAAGTTTTGCACAAACTGATGATAGGGAAATTCGGGCACAATTGTGTCCCACCAGAAGAGCGAGTGCCGATGTGCCCAGATAGCATGTGATCTCTGACTCGCAGCAAGCCTCGTCAACATCTACAATGATCGAGAAAGCGATAAGCTTGCTGATTGCATGCCCCTGACTGTTATATACTAAATACAAGTATACTGTAATCGATGCTATGCTAAGTTGCCTAGCAGATGCATACAGCGCATTATTATTATTAATAATAATAATTATTATTAATAATAATAGCGCAGGCGCTCTTGGGTAAACGTCGACGCAAAGTGACGTGTGGGCGCTTTATGATGACGTAGCTCCTACTTGGCTCGTTGACGGTGGAAAATCAAACACGTTTTTCATGAAAACTTGTTAAGAACCAACCATGGGCGTCATTAGGCCTATTTTAGGGAGGCTTCTGCCTCCCTAAAAATGTCTTTAGCCCCCCTAAATAATTTCATTGCATTATTTAAAAAAAAGTATTATTTATTTTTCCTGTACTTTTGCTAATATATTGC